GTTTGTTTGTTTATTTGTTTGTTTATTTATTTATTTATCTATTTGTTTATTTATTTTTGTATTTGTTTATTTATTTATTTATTTATTTATTTATTTACTTTTTTTGTTTTTGTTTGTTTGTTTGTTTGTTTGGTTAGTTGCTTATATACACAGATAAATATTTATATATTTTTTATTTATTTATTTATTTATTTATTTTATTATTTATTTATTTATTCATTTATTTATTTTTTAGTTTTTTATTTATTTGCATCTATATAACATAGATAAAAGAAATAAAATAAATAAAATAAACAAAAAAAAATAAATAAAACAAAAAACAAAACAAAAAACAAAAAACAAAACAAATAAGTAAATACAACAACAAAACAAAAAACAAAACAAATAAATAAATAAGCAACTAAACAGAAAAAACAAAAGCCAAAACAAAAGCCAAACAAACAAAAAAAATAAATAAAAATAAATTAAAAAGAATAGAAAAAAAAAATAAAATAAATAAAAGACAAAAGAGAAAAGCCAAACAAACAAAAAAAACAAACAAATAAAAATAAATAAAAAAAAAGTAAAAATAAAAAATAAAAATAAAAAAATAAATAAAAATAAATAAAAATAAATAAAAATAAATAAAAAACATAAAAAAACAAAAATAAATAAAAGACAATAAATAAAAAATAAAATAAATAAAAGACAGACCTTTTTAGGGTTCTCAGCAAGAGAACGATAAATATTTCGCTGCGAGAGACGAAGACACAGCTGCTGCAGCACAGCAGCAATCTGCTGCTCCACTGTCTCCAGCTCTGCATCCAAAGCCAAATTCTGAGCAGCAGCAGCAGCAGCAGCAGCAGCAGCAGCAGCAGCAGCAGCAGCAGCAGCAGGAAGCGAGGGAATGATGCAGCAGCAGCAGCAGCAGCAGCAGCGGACGGGGAGACCATGCAGCAGCAGCAGCAGCAGCAGGAGGGGAAGCGGTAGCTGGCGCAACAGCTCTATGGTAGCAGCAGCAGCAACAGCAGCAGCAGCAGCAGCAACAGCAGCAACAGCAGCAACAAGAGGCGCATAGAAAGCAGAATAAAAAAAAAATAAATAAAATAGAAATTACCTGCTGCTGCTGCTGCAGCGACAAATGCTGCTGCTGTGATGGGGTCATCCAGCTATCTAAACCAAGGACGCAGCAGTTGCTGCTGCTGCTGCTGCTGCTGTTGCTGCTGCTGCTGCTGCTGCTGCCGCATGTGGTGTCTATACAGTCCAAAGAGAAATCATATGCATGCTCGCTCTCAATCCAATCCCCAGACAGTCTGCAGCAGCAACAGCAGCAGCAGCAGCAACAGCAGCAGCAGCAGCAACAGCAGCAGCAGCAACAGCAGCAG